CAAAATCTGCGTGGTGTGACACAATTTTTCCCACCAGTCACCAATCCCAATACTACGCTTGCCCAAGCATGCTTAACTACGGAGTTCTGATGGGATCCGATGCACTACTGCTTGTATGGTCTCACCCGTAGTAATATGGTCTCAAATTATTCTTACGTTGACATTGTAGGGAGATGATTTTAACGCATCTTCATTCCGACAGATTGTAGGGCATCAAAAATGCATTTTTTGGCTGTGCATGGCCGGCCGATGGGCCTATGGCCAACGACGCTACATCCAGCTTGGAATAAGCTTTCTGGAATGGGTTCATAATGCCAAATCAGAATCCTGGTGGAAATTTATTGATGTTCACGCGTAGTCGCCGTATAGGACCCGTCGGATACCTTCACGGGTCCCATAATGGAGGTTTTTTCACTCGATCCATGGCAAGCCAAAACCGCCAAGGGTTCGTAGGCTGTGGCGAAGAGCTATAAAAAAAGAGATGGCTGGTTAGAAAAAAGGGTGCAACACCAGGACTTCCAAGGAGGTTACCCATCCCAGTACTACTCTCGACCAAGCTCACTTAATTGTGGAGTTATGATGAGATTCGGTGCACTAATGATGTTATGGTCACACACGTAATAATATGGCCTCAAATTATTTTTAAGTTGATGCCATTGAGAAATGATATTGATGCATCTTAATTCTGACAGACCTATGGGATCAAAAATGCATTTTTTGGCTGCGTATGGCTAGCCGATGGGCCTTTGGCTCATATGCGCTCCATCCGGCTCGGAACAAGCTTTCCAGAATGGGGTTATATTGCTGAATCATAATCTTGGGTAGAAATTTATTGAGGTTCTCGCGCGGTCGCCATATAGGACCCGCCAGATGCCTTCATGGGGCCCACGATGCAGGTTTCATCTCTCGATGCACGACAAACCAACACTGCCAAGGGTTCGTAGGCTGTGGCGCAGAGCTAGAAAAAAAAAGATATGACTGGTTAGAAAAAAGGGTACAACACGAGGACTTCCCAAGAGGTCACTTATCCCAGTATTACTCTCGCCCAAGAACGCTTTACTGTAGAGTTTTGATGGGATCCAGTGCACTAGTGCTGGTATGGTTTCACCCATAGTAATATGGTCTCAATTTATTCTTAAGTTGACTCCGTGGAGATATGATTTAGATGCATCTTCATTTCAACAAACCGTAGAGGATCAAAAATGCATTTTTTGGTTACGCATGGCCGGTTGATGGTCCTATATCACCTAGGCGCTCCATCCGGCTCGGAATAAGATTTCCATAATAGGGTCATAATGTCAAATAAGAATCTTGGGCCGAAAGTTATTGAAGTTCCAGCACGGTCGCCGAATAGGACCCGCCGGATGCCTTCACGAGTCCAACGATGCGGGTTTTGTCGCTCGATATGCTGCAAGCCAACACCGCAAAGGGTTCGTAGGCCGTGGCAAACAGCTAGAAAAAAAAGGAGATGGCTGGTTAAAAAAAAGGGTGCAACATGAGGACTTCTCATGAGGTCACCCGTCCCAGTACTACTCTCACCCAAGAACGCTTAACAGCGGAGTTCTGATAGGATCCGGTGCACTAGTGCTGGTATGTCGAACATGTAGAAATATGGTCACAAATTATTCTTATATTGACGCCGGGGAGAGATGATTTTTACACATCTTCATTCTAACAGACCGTAGGGGATCAAAAATTCATTATTTTGTTGCACATGGCCAGCCGATGAGCCTATGGCCATCAGCGCTCCATCCGTCTTGGAATAAGTATTCTGGAATGAGGTCATATTGCTGAATCTGAATCCTAGGCGGAAAGTTATTATTGTTCCCGCACGGTCGCCACATAGGACAAGCCAGATGCCTTCACGGGTCCCATGATGCTGGTTTCATCACTTGAAGCACAGCAAGCCAAAAGGGTTTGTAAGCTGTGGCGATGAACTAGAAAAAAAAAAGAGATGGCTGGTTAAAAAAAATGGTACAACACGAGGACTTCCCAGGAGGTCACACATCCCAACACTAGTGCTGGTATGGTCGCACCAGTAGTAATATTGTTTCAAATTATTCTTGAGTTGATGCTGTGGAGAGTTAATTTTGACGCATCTTCAATCCGACTGACCGTAGGGGATCAAAAATGCATTTTTTAGCTGCGCATGACTGGCTGATAGGCTTATGGCCATCGACACTCCATCCGGCTTGGAATAAGCATTCCAGAATGGGGTCATAATGCCGAATCAAAATCTTGGGAAGAAAGTTATTGATGTTCTCGCACGGTCGCCGCATAGGACCCGCCGGATGCCTTCATTGGTCCCACAATGCGGGTTTCATCGCTCGATGTGGGCAAGCCAACGCCGCCAAGGGTTCATAGGCAGTGGTGAAGAGCTAGAAAAAAATAGATGGCTGGTTAAAAAAAGGGTGCAACATGAGGACTTCCAAGAGGTCACGCATCCCAGTACTATTCTCGCCCAAGCATGCTTAACTTGGAAGTTCTAATGGGATCCAGTGCACTAGTGCTGGTATGGTTGCTCCCGTAGTAATATGGTCTAAAATTAATCTTAAGTTTATGCCGTGGAGAGATGCTTTTGACGCATTTTCATTTCGACAAATCGTAGGGGATCAAAAATGCATTTTTTTTTCGCACATGGCCGACCGATAGGCCTATGGCACATAGGCGCTCCATCCGGCTCGGAATAAGCTTTTCGGAATGGGGTCATAATGCCGAATCAGAATACTGGGCAAAACATTATTTATGTTCCCGCACGGTCGCCGCATAGGACCCGCCAGATGCCTTCACGGGTCCCACGATGCGGGATTCATCGCTCGATGCACGGCGAGCCATCTCCGCCAAGGGTTCGTATGACGTGGCGAAGATCTATAAAAAAAAAAGGCTGGTTAAAAAAAAAGGGTGCAACATGAGGACTTCCCATGAGGTTACCCATCCTAGTACTACTCTCGCACAAGCATGCTTAACTGCGGAGTTCTGATGGGATCTGGCGCAATATGGTTGGTATGTCGCACACGCAGTAATATAGTCTCAAATTATTCTTATGTTGATGTCGGGGAGAAATGATTTTTACACATCTTCATTATGACAGGCCGTAGGGGATCAAAAATGCATATTTTTGCTCCGCATGGCCGGCCGATGAGCTTATGGCCATCAGCGCTCCATCCGGCTTGGAATAAGCATTTTGAAATAAGGTCATATTGCCAAATTGGAATCCTGGTGGAAAGTTATTGATGTTCCCGCACAGTCGCCACATAGGACCAACCGGATGCCATTGCTGGTCCCATGAAGCGGGTTTCATCACTCGATGCATAGCGAGCCAACACCACCAAGGGTTCGTAGGCTGTGGCAAAGAGCTAGCAAAAAAAAAAAAAAGATGGCCGGTTAAAAAAAAGGTACAACACAAGGTCTTCCCAGGAGGTCTCCCATCCTAGTACTACTCTCTCCCAAGCACGCTTAATCGCAAAGTTCTGATGGGATCCGGTGCACTAGTGCTGGTATGGTCGCACTCGTAGTAATATGGTCTCAAATTATTCTTAAATTGCTGCCGTGGAGAGATGATTTTGACGCATCTTAATTCCGAGAGACCGTAGGGGATCAAAAATGCTTTTTTTGGCTGTGGATGACCGACCGATGGGAGTATGGAGGATCCGGCTCTATCTTGCTCGGAATAAGCTTTCCGGAATAGGGTCATAAGCCAAATCAAAATCCTGTGTGGAAAGTTATTGATGTTCCGCATGGTCGCTATATAGGACCCGTCGGATGCCTTCACTGATCCCATGATGTAGATTTCATTGCTCGATGCGCGGCGAGCCAACACCGCCAAGGGTTCGTAGGCTGTAGCGATGAGCAAGAAAAAAAGAGATGGCTGTTTAAAAAAATGGTGCAACATGAGGACTTCCCAGGAAGTCACCCATCCCAATACTACTCTCACCTAAGCATGCTTAACTGCGGAGTTCTGATGGGATCTGGTGCACTAGTGCTAGTTTTGTCGCACCCGTTGTAATATAGTCTTAAATTATTTATAAGTTGACACCGTAGAGAGATGAATTTGATGCATCTTCATTCCGACGGATCGTAGGGGATTAAAAATGCATTTTTTAGCTGCGCATTGCTGGCCAATCGGCCTATGACCATTAGCACTAAATCCAGCTCGGAATAAGTATTCCGAAATGGGGTCATAATGCTGAATTGGAATCCTGTGAGGAACGCTATTGATGTTCCCCTGCGGTGGCCACATAGGACCCGCCGAAAGCATTCACGGGTCCCACGATGCAGTTTTCATTGCTTGATGCGCAACGAGCCAACACCGTTTAGAGTTCATAGGCCGTGGGGAAGAGATAGAAAAAAAAAAGAGATGGATTTTTAAAAAAAGGGTGCAATACAAGGGCTTCTCAGGTGGTCACCCATCCCAGTACTAATCTCATCCAAGCTTGCTTAACTATGGAGTTCTGATGTGATCCGATGCATTAGTGCTGGTATGGTTGCACCCGTAGTAATGTGGTCTCAAGTTATTCTTAAGTCGATGCCGTGGAGAGATGATTTTAATGCGTCTTCATTCCGATAGATCGTAGGGGATCTCGGATGCATTTTTTTGTTGCACATGGCTGCCCGATAGGCCTATGGCCATCGGCGCTCCATATGGGTCAGGATAAGCTTTTTGAAATGGGGTCATAATGCCGAATCAGAATCTTGGGCGGTAACTTATTGATGTTCCCACGCGGACGCCACGTTGGACCCGCCGGATGCCTTACTAGGTCCCACAAAGTGGGTTTAATCGCTAAGTACGTGGCGAGCCAACACCGACAAGGGTTCGAAGACTGTGGCGAAGAGCTAAAAAAAAGAGATTGCTAGTTAAAAAAGGGTGCAAAATGAGGACTTCCTGGTAGATCACCCATCCTAGTACTACACTTTCCCAAGCATGCTTAACTGCGGAGATATCATGGGATTTGGTGCACTAGTGCTGGTATGATCACACCCGTAGTAATATGGTCTCAAATTATTCTTAAGTTGACACCATGGAGAGATGATTTTTACCCTTCTTCATTCCGACAGTCTGTAGGGAATCAAAAATGTATTTTTTTGCTACGCATTGCCGGGCTATGGGCTTATAGCCATCGGCGCTCCATCATGCTTGGAAGAAGCATTTTGAAATGGGGTCTTAATGTTGAACCACGATCCTGGGAGTAATGTTATTGATGTTCCTGCGCGGTTTCCGTATTGCTCTCGCTGGATGCCTTCACGAGTCCCACTACGCGGTTTTCATCGCTTGATGCATGGCGAGCCAACACTACCAAGGGTTCGTAGGCCGTGCCGAAGAGCTAAAAAAAAGAGATGTTGGTTAAGAAAAAGGGGTACAACACGAGGACTTCCCATGAGATCAGCCATCCCAGTACTACACTCGTCTAAGCACGCTTAACTACAGAGTTCTGATGGGATCCGGTGCACTAGTGCTGGTATGGTGCACAAACAGTAACATGGTCTCAAATTATTCTTAAGTTGACACTGTGGAGAGATAATTTTGAAGCATCTTCATTCCAACAGACCGTAGGGGATCAAAAATGCATTTTTTGGCTATGCATTGCTGGCTAATGGGCTTTTGGCCATTGGTGCTCCATCTAGCTTGGAATAAGCATTCCGGAATGGGGTCATAATGCCAAATCGAAATCTTGGGCAGAAAGTTATTGATGTTCTCGCGTAGTCGCCGCATAGGACCTTTCAGATGCCTTAATGGGTCCAATGTTGTGAGTTTCATTTCTCGATGTGCGGCGAGTCAAAATTGCCAAAGGTTCATAGACCGTGGCGAAGAGCAAGAAAAAAAAAAGATATGGCTGGTTAAAAAAAGGGTGCAAGGTCACCCATCCCAGTACTACTCTCGTCCAAGCATACTTAACTACAGAAATCTGATGGGATATATTACACTTGTGCTGGTATGGTTTCACCCGTATTAATGTGGTTAAAAATGTCATGGAGAGATGATTTTGATGCATCTTCATTCCGACAGACCGTAGGGGATTAAAAATGCATTTCTTTTATTGCGCATGGTCCGCTGATGGGCCTATGGTGCTTCGATGCTTCATCCGGCTAGGATTAAGCTTTTCGGAATGGGGACTTAATGCCGAATTGGAATCCTGGGCAGAAAGTTATTAATGTTCCTACGCGGTCGCCACATAGTACCCACCAGATGCCTTTAAGGGTCGCACGATGTGGTTTTCATCACTCGATGCGCGGCGAGCCAACACCGCCAAGGGTTCGTAGGCTGTGGCGAAGAGATAGAAAAAAAAAGGAGATGGCTGGTGAAAAAAGGGTGTAACATGAGGACTTCCCAAAAGGTCACCCATCCCAGTACTACTCTTGCCCAAGCACGCATAACTGCATAGTTCTAATGGGATCTGGTGCACTAGTGTTGGTATAATCGCACCCGTAGTAATATGTCTCAAATTATTCTTAAGTTGACATCGTGAAGAGATGATTTTAATGCATATTCATTCTGAAAGACCATATGGGTTCAAAAATGCATTTTTGGCTGCGCATGGCCGGCCAATGAGCCTATAGCCAACGACGCTCCATCCAGCTCGGAATAAGCATTCTAGAATGCAGTCATAATGTCGAAATGGAATCATGGGCTGAAAGTTATTGATGTTCCCACGCGGTTGCCACATAGGACCCACTGGATTCTATCATGGGTTCCATTATTCGGGTTTCATTTCTCATTGCTCGACGAGCTAGCACCGCCAAGGGTTCGTAGGCCATGGAGAAGAGCTAGAAAAAAGAAGAGATGGCTAGATAAAAAAGGGTGCAACACGAGAACTTCCCAGGAGGTCACCCATCATAGTACATCTCTCTCCCAAGCACGCTTAATTGTTAAGTTCTGATGGGATCCGATGTACTAGTGCTGGTATGGTCGCACCTGTAGTAATATGGTCTAAAATTATTCTTAAGTGGTTGACGTGGAGAGATAATTTTGATGCATCTTTAATCTGACAGTCCGTAGGGGATCAAAAATGCATTTCTTGGCTGCACATGGCTGGCCTATGGGCATATTGCCCATCGGCACTCCATCTGGCTCAGAATTAGCTTTCCGGTATGGAGTCATAATGCCGAATCAGAATCCTAGATGGAATGTTGTTGATGTTCCCGCGCGGTCACCATGTAGGACCTTCTGGGTGCCTTCACGGGACCCACGATCCGGCTTTCATCGCTCGATGCGGGCGAGCAAACACCCCCAAGGGTTCATAGGTCAAGGCGGAGAGCTAGAAAAAAAAAAAGAGATTGCTGGTTAAATAAAAGGGTGCAACACGAGGACTTCCGATGAGGTCACCCATCCTATTACTACTCTTGCCCAAGCATGCTTAACTACGGAGTTCTAAAGGGATCTGATGCACTAGTGCTGGTATGGTTTCACCCATAGTAATATGGTCTCAAATTCTCCTTAAGTTGATGCTGTGGCAGCTGATTTTGATGCATCTTTATTCCGACAGACCGTAGGGGATCAATAATGCATTTTTTGGCTACGCATGGCCGGTTGATGGCCCGTCGGTGCTCCATCTAGCTCGGAATAAGCTTTTCAGAATGTGGTCATAATGTCGAATCGAAATAATGGGCGAAAAGCTGTTGATGTTCCTATGCGGCCGCCACGTAGGACCCACCAAATGCCTTCACGAGTCCCATGATGCCGATTTCATCGCTCAATGCACGGCGAGCCAACACAGCCAAGGGTTTGTAGGAAGTGGCAAGGTGCTATGAAAAAAAGAGATGGATGGTTAAAAAAGGATGCAAGACGAGTACTTCCCAGGAGGTCTCAATCCTAGTACTACTCTCGCCCAGTACGCTTAACTATCAAGTTCTAATCGGATCCGGTGCACTAGTGCTGGTATGGTCGCACCCATAGTAATATGGTATCAAATTATTCTTAAGTTGAGGCCGTGGAGAGATAATTTTTGAAAGTTTGTTAGGGATGTTAAGCCCTATAGAACTGGCCTAAGCTAACCAAGAGAGGGGGGTGTGAATTGGTATTTTAAAAATTTTCATTTCATAAAGAACAAAAGATCACATAAACCAAAATTACACCACGAGAAAAATAAATGCGGAAATTAAAGTGCGGAAGCAAGAAACAAGAACACAGATATTTATAGTGGTTCGGTCAACTCGACCTACATCCACTCCCCAGAGGCGCCCTCCGAGTATTACACTACAATCGTGACTCTTCTTTTTCCCCCATAGCTAGGCGGAGAAGCCTTTACAACGAACCTCTTTTTGCCACCTGGGCAAGGCAGAGAACCTATCTCCTTTTGCTTGCTCCTGAAGCTGGCAGAGAACCACAATCAGATACTGACTCCTTACCTCAACCAACCCTTCCACGGACAAGATACTCTATCTCCTTACAATGAACCTCTTTCTGCCACCTCGGCAAGGCGATCCTTGAAGCAACCCTTGTGAATCCCCTCATAAGCTCCCCCTCACAAGATCCTCTCTCTCTCCCTCTCTTTCTTTCTCTCCTGAAGGCCTTCTCAGGTCAAGGCAGCAGCAAAAGATTGTTCAAAATGTTGAATAAGAGCTCTTAAATAGAAGAGCTTCAAAGGAGCTCATTAATTGCAAGTTGCCGACAATATCGTCCAGGCCGATATGGACATCATCCTGGCCGATCAGTATAAATCTCAGAAGATCGGCCAGAGCCTCGCCCTGAATGCAAACTTGATGATTTAAAATTGGCTTGATCGTCCAGGCCGATCTCACGATCATCCTAGCTAATCAGTTCAAATCAGAGGAAAATCATCCAGAGCATCGCCCTGAATTCGAGCTGGCCGATATTTATCATCTTGAAGCTACTAAGATTTTTGAATAGATCGTCCTGGCCGATAGTGTGATCGTCCAGGATTATATGATCGTATCAATCATGCTTAATTACTCCCTCGATTTCCTGATCAATTAAGGCATAATTTGTGAATATCGTCCAGGCCAATCAATGATCGTCCTGGCCAATTATTAAAAAATACATA